GCCTTTCTTGGCCTCCACTGAGTAGTGTTACAAATGGATGTGTCCCAGCATGTCTGGTCAAAACATAGGCTTAATTATAATAAAGGTTAATGCACCAAAAACATTAATAGCATGATGAAAATAGCAATTAAGGGTGTGAATAAGGGCAAATATTTTCCTAGCCCAGCAATAAGACAAAAAATTACTTCGCACATTACTGACAGCTGAACAGGAGGTCACTGGTGGTTTTAAACCTCCAAAGAAACCAGCCGATCCCTATCTTTTCCTATTATAGTAAACCAGTAAAGAAAAAAAATGGTGGCAGGTAGGGATAAGAAGAGAAAGGAGGGGAAAGACTTAATCATTGTCTTCAAATATTGTAACTTAAGAGTTTTGAAAAATTTGGAGTAAGGTTTTAAAATCTCTGTAAATTTCTTTGATTCAAGTTGGTTAGAATGTCCTTGGATACACCTGGGTGAGTTTACCCACTTCAGTGTAACCAAGTGAGAAGATTTTTCTAGGGCCTGTCTCAGATGATGGAAGTACAGCTCTGGGTAGTACAATCCACTGAATCTGGAGATGAAAGACCCAGGTTCAAATTCTGGCTCTGCTACTTACTTTGTGTAATCTTGGGCAAAGTCCGTCAACCAATCTGGAGTGGGGCGGGGAGGAGGATGGACTAAATGACTTGAAAGGTCCCTTCCACTCTAAATCCATGATCCTTTAAGGCTGTATTCTCCACTAGGCAGCATGCCAAATTGGAGAGATTAATTGGATTTAGAAATAAAAGACCCATATTTGAAACCTGATTCTGCTACTTAATACCTGCGTGATGTTAGGAAAGTCTGTGATTCAGTTTCCGCAACTCTTAAAATAAGGGAGTTGAACTAGATAATCTCCAAGGGCCCTGCCATCCCTAAAATCCTATAATGGTGCCTGGGCTAGTTCCTCAGGTAATCAGTCCAGAAAGATGCTGACCTTTCATCTTTAAGCTGCTGAGGTCTGTTACTGCTGAGTCACCAGAGATATCACAGAGAGTCTTGGTAATCTGTTGGTGTCTTTTTATTCCTTTGTTGAGTGACAAAAGCTATCGGTTTTAAGTCGTTGTTTAAAATTTTTAATTATGACATATACATTTTTGTTCATTGATTTATAGTTAGTTTTGTTTTAATATAGATGACAGAATCATAGATTTTGAGCTAGAATGGACCTTCCCTCACTTTATAAATGAATGCCCAAAGTCAGGTAGGAAATAGCAAAGCCAGGATCAAAACTCATGTCTTCTGATGTCAATCCAGTGTTCTTTGTACTGGCTTCACTGTTTACCTGTTTAAATAGAGGAGCCTCATCACAGTTTGGAAGAGAGCCAAGTTTTTCCAAGACTATGCCAATGGAATTCAAGCTCTAGAAGGTTCTACCAGGCTTTGAATATAGTCCCAGGGAAGGCTTGGGTGTCTATTGTCCAAGGACCAGCCTTGCTACAACTGGAGAGGCCTACTACCAGAGGACTGGCTACCAAGTGATTCATTTTGAAAGCCTCTGTAACTCATGACATGCATCTATGAAGGAAAGGCAGGCATCGGGCCTGCACATATGGAGAGAACAGCTAAGTAGGGAAGTTCCATATTGCGAAGGCTAGCACTATTTAGTAAAAGGACATAAAGCTTAGATATAAAAGTTCTGCATTTGGGTCTCAGTTCTATCACTTAGTATCATTTAGGTAATTCATTCACCTGCTCAAAGCCTAGATTTCCTCACCTGTAAAATTGTGATAATGATATTTGTACTACTTCCCTCACAGAACTGTTGTATAGCTCAAATGTGATAAGGTGTGTGAAGTACTATATAAATGGGAGTTGTTAGTATCAATCAAAATGATTTGCATTGTGGGAGGGCTTTTTTTTTTCTGAAACATAATCTTTTTTTTTTAAACTCCCCTCCTCCCACTGAAGCAAACCTGTGATTTCATTGCTGTAGAGAATTTCCAGTGGGAAAGATTCCTCTTCCCTCTACCAGTACAGACCTGGAACTAACGATCTTAAATTGTGGTCTCTTAACTTTGGGGGGGCATCATAGACCCTTTTGGCAATCCAGTGAAGCCTGAGGTCTATGGATAATGCTTTTAAACAATTAATTAGAATCAGAAGATTACAAAAGAAATGAAATATATTGAAATACACTTACCACTATATTAAGAAAAATTCACAGACTCCCCAAAATGTATCCACAGATCTACTGGGTCTGTTAAGAGCCCTTGTCTTAGAGAATTATCTGGGGCACTGAGAAATTAAGTGATTGGTCAAGGGTCACAAAGCTAGGGTGAGTCAGCAATGGTGCTTGAACTTTCTTTTTTATTTATTTAATTTATTATTATTATTATTATTATTATTATTATTATTATTATTATTATTATTATTATTATTTTGGCTAGGCAATGGGGTTCAGCGACTTGCCTGGGGTCACACAGTTAGTTAAGTGTTATGTGTCTGATGCCGGATTTGAACTCAGGTCCTCCTGAATTCAGGGCTGGTGCTTTATCCACTGCGCCACCTAGCTGCCCCCAGTGTTTGAGCTTTCATGACTCTCAGGTCAGCTAGCCCTCCACTGTACCATGATGCCTTTCACACTGGATGTAATCCAAAGAAAATACTAGTTCCCACTAATCTGAGAAAGAAGTAACTAAGTCATCTGAGTCGTGCATTTCTAAGACACTGACTACTCATCCTTAAGGCCAGAAGAGGCCCTATCACCATTTTTGTTTTTTGTTTTTTTCTCTCAAGTATCTCTGAGAAGTCTTCAAATTCTCCTGTTTGTTCATTTGTTCTGTTTTAAGAAGGAAATAGGAGATCTGAAAGAGACTAGGATGTAACATCTGTAGTTCAGCAATAAGAAGGATTAGAAGGATTGGTTTCAGGGGGATGCTGACCAGTTCTTTTCTACCTCCAGAGAGGCCTGAACCAGAGAAAATAGGTTTTATTTATGCCAAGATTTATTTAGCATGGATATGAAGATGAGAGTAAGAAATGTTTATTTCCTATCAAAATTCTAGAATGAGAATAAATTCTAGAACTGATTAAGTTATAATTTAAATAATAATTTTTAAATAACTTAAAAAGGAAGTGATCACTATAAACTGATGGAGTTTATCAAGAACAAATAGATACAAGTTGTACTAAATGATTCCAGGAGTCTCTTTGACTTTGAGATGCTGTGAGGGCTACCAGGGAAAAGTATAGGATTTCTCTGCCTGGAGACTTTTAACAAAAATAATAACAATAATAATAATAATTCCTCTCTACCTGGACTGGATTGAGAGACAGGGGCATTATAGTACCTATTTCAGCGTTCCCCTGTTTGGGGAATCTTTGAACTCTTTCCCCTCCAGGAAGCAGAAATATTCTCTTTACTTGATGTAATGTCTATCTATTGACAATCCACATGTGACTCAACAGATATTCTCAAGGACAAGCATAACTCTCCAGAGATGCAGGCAGCAGTGTGGTATAGTAAACAAAACCACTGGTCTGGGAGTGAAGAGACTTGGTGGTAGATCACAGTTTAATGACACAGTAGCTTTGTGACCTTAGACACTTTACCTATCCTGGCCTCAGTTTCCTCACTGGGACTTGATGAACTCTAATACTGATACCCCACTCCCCCAGCCATCTTTAGCACTCTTTGGTTCTGGTTGTTCCAAGTGCCTCTAATATGACTCTAGTTTAGAGAGACCTTGGTAAACCTAACTTAATTCCTACCATTGACCCTCTAATAGAATCTGAGAATGTCAGTGTTGGTCAGATCCTCAAAGACCACATAATCCAACCAATGCTTAAGCATGAATCCCCCCTGCAATATCCCTAACATCTTGTCATCCAACCTTTATTTGAAGACCTCCAGATAGGGGAGCGCTGGAGCCATCTTCTACTGCTCTCAAGAGCTGATTTGCTAAATTTTCAGTGTAAGTATCTGTACCTCAGAAATCAAGCAATGCTACAAATTAGGGCTCGATATATTGTTGATTGTCTAGACTTAAGAAAGTGAGTGATAAAATATAAATAATGCAGATTACACTTACAAGTGTATTATTGCTACTTTTTTCCTCCTAGAGTGCCAGTTATTAAACATTTACCAGCTGCATTCAGGAATGAGGAGCTCACTATCCCTCTCCCTCCCTCTCCAGGAAACACACTGCACTTTTGGACTCTTAGAATTACTGGGATGTTCTTCAATGCATCAAGCTGCAGCTTCCTTCAATTGTGCACAGTTCTATCCTCTGAGACCAAATAGAACAAGTAGAATCCCTCTTCCACATGACTTTCTTTCCTCCCCTTCTCCCTCCCCCAGAAGCCCCAAGGCCCACTACACCATCATGGAGTATAATTCTCAACAGACTGGAGAAAGAAATTCTGTTCACTCCTTCTTTGACAGAAATGCTTCCTGGCTCATCAGTCACTAACAGCAAGGGAGTCTGGAAACATATTGAATATTACAATGCTAGAGCAGCTATAACCCAAGGAACTCAAACCATGGCACACCCTTTTGTTATAACTGAGAGGCTGGGCACAAAGTCAGCATAAAATAAATACTGGTCAATTTTTGAGGCATTGGGCTATAGTGCTAGATTTGGAATCAGAAAGATGAAGATTAAATTCAATCTCTGCTACTGTGTGATGCCTGGCAAATCAATTCAACTCTCTAAGGCTCAGTTCTCTGAGATGTAAAGTGAAGGGGTGGGCAAGGTCTTCTCTAAACTCTTTTTTACCTCAAGGTCTTATAATTCTAAAGGGCCAAGAATGATCCACTATAATTTATAGAGTTGGGGCTAACTTGAGGATTTAAGAAACTGGGGTCATTTGGAGAGGTGAGCTCTGAACATGTTTCTTTTCTTTTTCTAACCAGATGGCTGACTCAAGGCCCAGCCCTGAGGTCTTGCTCTTAGAATCAAACTCCCTTTCCAAGATAGCAGAGCTGGATCTCTGAGACAATTCTAGCCCAATCAGGACATTTATGAGTTACCAGACCTTTATTAAACAGGCATTGGTCACCACTTGCTTTGGGTCGACAATGTCCACCAGGGGTTCTCTCATGGCGACGTCCCGGATACAGGTCATGTCAAAGCCGTACACGTTCTCCCACCCTGTTGGAGCAGAGAGAGGCATCAGAGGTCAGGTAGGCTGGCAGCAGGGCTGGGAACTTGGTTTAGTTTTCCTGACTAGCCAGACAAGTGAGCAGAATATATGCTGCTACTACAAGTGATGCAGAGAGGGGATGGAGTTTCCTCATTCAGTCAGTAGCCAACAAGCATATATTAAGCACCTACTATGTTACAGGTGCTGTGCTAAGCCCTGTGGATATAAAGAAAAGGGAAAAGGGTCCCTATTTTCAAGGAGCTCACTGACTAATTGGGGAGAAATCATGCTAACAAGTATGTGCAAACAAGATACATTCAGGGTAAATTGAGGATGGTCTCAGATGAAAGGAACTAAGGATTAAGGACTGGGAAAGGCTTCTGGCATAAGTTAGGATTCTAGCTGAGACTTGAAGGAAGACAGGGAAGATGGGAGAAGGGGGTGGAACATTCTAGGCATGGAGAACAACCAATAAACATGCTCAGTTGGGAGATGGAGTGCCATGTTCGAGGAACAGGAAGGAGGCCAGAATCACTTGAACCTAGAGTACCTGGAGAGCAGTAAGGTATAAGAAGACAGGAAAGATAAGAAGGGGCCAAGTGATGAAGGGCTTTAAAAGTCAAAGCAAGTGGATAGAGCACTGGCCCTGAAGTCAGGAAGACCTGAGTTCAAATCCAGTCTCAGACCAAACACTTGACACGTATTAGCAGTGTGACCCTGGCAAGTCACTTAACCTCACTTGCTTAAAAAAAAAAAAGGTCAAGGCAGTGCTTCAACCTAGACCTTCTACTCCAGCTGGGTGTGGTTTCCTCAACATTCCCCTTGTATACCCTGATCACAGAGGATTCGTGGTATGCTAGAAAGAGAGCAGCTCTTGGAACCAAATCAACTGGGTCCTAATGCAGGCTCCAACATTGTGTGACCACATATAAATCACTTTCCTCAACTACAAAATGGGAGTAATTATAGTAACTCTATAGGATTCTTGTAAAGAAAAGCTCTTATAAGTCTTGAGATGCTATAAAAATGAGTGTAAGAAAAGTCACTTTACCTGTAGGACTTCAAGTCCTTTATTTGAAAAATGGATAATGATGCCAGATCTCACAGAGTTGTGAGGATGAAATAAACAAATGAACAAAATTGATGGATGTATATTTATAAGGCACTATAAGAATGTAAGGAATAATTGTTATTCCTACCTCCAAACCTTTGCTTATGCTGTTCCCCTTACCTAAATTCCCACTCTCACTCCCTTCATTCTTTCTAAATCCTATACATACTTCAAAGCCTACATGCTCCATGGGGCCTTTCTCAACTTCTATGGGCAAGGGATTTTTTTTTATTCAAATCAACAAAATACATAAAGTACCTGTTGTGTATAAAGCATTATGTTAGAATTCTATTGATACAAAGTAGTCCTTGCCCTCCCAGAGCTTGCATTCTATCGGGAAGGGGAGATAAAATGTACAATTTAGAGGCACCTGTACAACAGTAAATAAACCCAATATAATTTAAGGACAGCGACTGAAGGAGACAACAACAGAGTCTTGGAAAAAGCTTCATGGCATTTGAGTTGAGCCTTAAATTAAGGTAAAGAATCTGAGAAATAGATTCCAAGCCTGAGGGATAGCCTGTACTAAGAAAAATAGAAGATGGAATGCCAAGGAACAGCTATTAGGTTGACTGCAGTAAAGGAATAACATGAAATAAATCTGGAAAGAGGTTGGAACCAGATTGGGGGATGGGGTGGAAGCTTTGAATGCTGGACAAAGGAGTTTGATTTTTTCTCCTAAATGGAACTGAAAATTTTTGGCCAAGGGAGCAATTTGGTCTGATCTGTACCTTAGGAAGATTATTCTGGAAGCTGGGTAGGGCATACATTGGAGAACAGGTGAACCAGAAGGAAGGAAGAAGACTACATCGGAAAGAGGCTAATGCAATGCCATGATCAATCAAACTAGCATGCAGTTGTTGAACACTCACTATGTTATGGTTACAGTTCTAGGCTCTTGAGTCAAAAACAGTAGCAAAACTCCCTGCCACCAAGGCATTTGCATTCTAAAGGGAAAGATGTGTGTGTATCTAAGTATATACAAAACACATTTAATGCAGATACAAGTTAACATTGAAGAGGAAGCCATCAGCAAACATGGTGACCAGGAGAGGCTTCATGAAAAAGGAGTCACTTAGCTGAGCTTTGATTATTAGGCTTCCAAAAGGTAGAGATAAGAAGAGAGAGCATTCCAGGCATGGGGAATGTGCACAGAGACGGGAGTGACTTAAGTCAAGGAAATAGTTAGGAGGGTACTCCAATAGTTTAGGACAGACATGATGAGGATTTAAACTAGGATGTGAGTACGAGGCAGCTAGGTAGCAAAGTGAATAGAATGCCAAGCCTGGAGTCAAGAAAACCCATCTTTTTGAGTTCAAATCTGGCCTCAGACACTTACTAGCTGTGTGACCTTGGGCAAGTCACTTAACCCTGTTTGCCTCAGTTTCCTTATCTGCAAATGAGCTACAGTAGGAAATGGCAAATCATTCCAGTATCTTAGCCAAGAAAATCCCAAACGGGTTCACTAAGAATCAGACACTACTGAACAACAACGAATTCAGAGAAGGAGTTATATACTAATGATATTATAGAAACAGACATGACAAGATATAGCAACTGGATTTGTGGGGTGAGTGAGAGTGAGAAATCAAGGGTAACACTAAGGTTGCAAACCTGGGTGACTCAAAGAATAGTAGTGCCCTTGACAGTAATAGGACAGTTTTGAAGAGGGGTGGGTTTCAGGGAACAGTGACATTTTGGACATGTTAAGTTTGAGATATCCACATCTAATTCAAAATATCCAATTGGGTATATAGGACTGTACCACAGAAGAGAGATGGGCCTGGATATATAGATCTAGGAATCATTCGTGTGGAGGTAATGAACCCACTAGGGCTGATAAGTTCACCAAGAGGAAGAATATAAAGAGGAAAGAGGACAGAAGGGGAAAGGAGGCAGCCCAGGACAGAGTCTTAGTGTACACTCAAAGTTAGTCGTCATGACACGGGTGATGATCCAGCAAAGGAAACAAGTAGGAGCAGTCAGATAGGAAGAGAAATAACAGAGAACAGTGTTACAGGAAGAGAAATAACAGAGAACAGTGTTGCAGAAATCCAGAGAGGAGAGAGTATTCAAAAGACTGGGGTAAGGCGTGGGGGGAGGGAAGGGCTCGTCAATTAAGGAGGTGTTAACAGTTTGCTTTGCTTCAGTGAGCACCTAGTTGAGATCAGATTATATAAATTTCTAATGGAGCCAATCAGAATAGTTTCATGTCTCCCTTCAGCTTTATACAGCATCATGGGACTACCAGCAGAGGAGACAGATGGTGAAAGCAAGCAAGACACAGAGTTTGCTAAGGTGCGAACAAGGTTAAGATAAAGAAGCAAGGGATTCCAGCGTAGAGGATACAGCTGAGTGTTATTGGTTCACTAAGATGAAAAGTAGGTTTAGGGAGAGGTGGAATGAGAGAGACTCTGATCAAGACAAGGAATTTCAGAGTTCTTGCTTGATCATGGACACTAGTGGGTGATGGTAGGATTAAGGTGAGACTATCCTCTGTAGTTAGGGCAGGTTGGAGGAAGAAGTCATGAAGACTGGGTATACTGAGGAACCGGAAGGTTGGAGTATTTCAGGGAACATCCACATGTATGTCTAAATTTCCTAACATCAGGGCAGGAGGTAGGGTAGAGAGGAAGACTGTGAGCCAGGGATTGAAAAGGGAAGGAGAATGTCTTGGGGTCAGTAGATAACAGCTTCTGGGATCTATATTTAGTTAGTGTGAACCTCAGAGGAGGAGGGGTTGATGAATGATAGCAATAGTGGAACAATCTGAAAACAGCAATGGCGAGATGAGATCACTAAGAGATAATACATAGAGAAGAAGGACCCAGGATAGAGTTTTTAGTGGTGCCCATGTGAAAGGTATAGGAGGATAGAAGCAGATCCAGTAAGAGAGACTGAGAAGTGGTTGTGTATGTAGAAAGGGAACCTGGAAAGAACAAACAAAGATGCCAAATAAGGAGAGGGTATCCGGAAGGAGGGGTTGATTGAATCCAAAAAAGCCGTACAGAGGTCAAATAGGAGGAAGACAGAGAAAATCAAACTCAGAAGGTATGAAGTCAGTGGTAAGCTTGAGAGAGAAGTTTTATTTGATTGGTGGGTCCAGAAGTCAGATTGCAAGAGGTTGGGAAGTGAGTAGTGGGAGGTGAAGAAGTGAAAACAGCAAGCTTAGATGACTGTTTTTGAGTTTGGCAATGAAAGGAAGAAACAATGTAATATGACAGTTTGAAGGAATGATAGGCCCGAGTGAAGGTTATTTTAAGGGTGAAGGAGTCCTGAAATATTTTCAGGCAGCAGATGACAGTGGGTAAAGAACTGGCAGATAAGGAGAAATTGAAGGGAAGGGGGTGTGTGTGTGAGAGAGAGAGAGACAGAGACAGAGAGAGATGGAGAGAGAGAGAGAGAGAGAGAGAGAGAGAGAGAGAGAGAGACAGAGACAGAGAGAGATGGAGAGAGAAGAAGTGATTGAAGGGGAAGGTCCCAAAGAAGACAGGAGGGTATGGGGTCAGGGGTATAAGGGTACAAGAGAGCTTGCCCTAGACAAGAAGGAACACTTCCGTCTGAGGCTAAAACAAAGTAAAGAGAATGGGCATCAATCTAGAAGGACTTTGAGATGTAAATTAGGAAAGAAAAGAGAGCTCACAGTGAAGTAGGAGGCAGTCTTCTTAAAGTGAGGGTGAAGGAAATAGTGTAGGGAACTTAAGAGAAGAACAGGTATAGAAAATCAAAGGAAGGAAATGTAATAGAAAGGATTGCCATGTAACAGTGACAGCCCAGCTTAGATTAAGTAAATGAATTTAGAGTGGACCTATTTGGCACGGTTGTGTGAATTCCTCTCCATCCACATTCAGCTGTCTTGGTAAGGATGAGTTCTGACAAAGTGTGAGCAGCAGTTGG